CTCCAGTTTCGTTTATTTATCCCTCAGCTCGAAACAATTTTAACCAAAAGGGGAAAAACATACGTTCAGAAATGAAAACAAAACAATAGAAAGCAGACAAACCAATCTGCTGGGTATCAAAGTCGGGGGCGTAGAACCACAGCATTGGAGAAGCGTGCTTGGCGATGCCAGAATCTGGAAAAGAGAAGGCTGCAATGAAAAGCGTCTGCCCAGATTCAGGAGACAGATACTGAGGACTAGCGCCTTGCAGCCAAACCACCCCTCTTCTCAATTTTGCCTTCAGCCCCCACCTCTCCTGAGAGATCCAAGAGGAGGCATTAGTTACCCCCTGAGATTGGGCTGAAGGCCGCCTGTGCTTGAATGGACCACCCCTCCACCCGTGGGTGACGGGGCCCAAACGGCCCCGCTCCGGAAGCTGCCGTGGCCTCGGCACTGACCTTGGAGGGCCCCCGGGCTGATCTTCCGCAGCATGTCATCCCACAGCAGGACCTGGAAGCCGCCGGCTTGGCCAGCGATGAAGCTCACCACCTCCCGGATGTGGTTCAGGTACATCTTGCCCACGTCTCCCCCGTTGCGACTCATCCAGTTCTTGGAATCCATGCCCTCCCCCAAGTGGAAGACCTGTGGGGAGGGGGGGGCAGAAGAGGCTGCTATGGGTCGGCTGGAGGACCTCCCGGAGCGGAAGCCTGCCTGCCTGCACGCGCACACACACACACACCCATGTGCAGGCCTCCCGGCGCACTTCTGTCGGTGGCCTCTGCACACAGTCGGGAAGGTGAACTTGCCACCCGGAGTGTGTGTGTTTGTGTGTGTTCTGCAATCTCCCTCCACACGATCCTTGCTCAGCCACCGAGGGCTTGCCGTGGGGCCCAGACGGGAATAACCCCACTCGTTTGGCGGGAATAACCCCACTCGTTTGGCAGGAATAACCCCACTCATTTGGTGGGAATAACCCCACTGGCACTGTGAAAGGGAAGCCCTTCCTCCCTCAGGGCTCCAAAAGGCTACGGGAGGCGTCCCGACTCGCTTGGTCCAGCTGGGAGCTGGGTGTGCGTGTGTGACTGGACAGCAGAGGGTTAATGGTGGCGTTTCAGCAGCCTAGGCTAAGGGGAAAGGGGGGGGGAGAGAGAAACGCACACACCTCTCCTCCTCTCCTTCCCCACCACAGGATACAACCCAGGTGTGACAAAGGAGATAACACAGGACTACAATTCCCAAAACCCCCAGCCAGATGGGAGCTGTGTGTGTCTACCACACCTGGTGGGAGCACCACATCTTCGAGCCGGATTTTCCCACACACACACACACACACACAGGGGGGGGAGAGAGAAACGCACACACCTCTCCTCCTCTCCTTCCCCACCACAGGATACAACCCAGGTGTGACAAAGGAGATAACACAGGACTACAATTCCCAAAACCCCCAGCCAGATGGGAGCTGTGTGTGTCTACCACACCTGGTGGGAGCACCACATCTTCGAGCCGGATTTTCCCACACACACACACACACACACACTGACCTGAGCCGGATTTCCCACACACACACACACACACTGACCTCGTCGGCCCCGATGTGCACCCAGTGGGAGCGCTGGTGCTTGCGCAGGACCTGGCCGAGCACCGACTTCACGAGGGCCAGCGTCTCCGGGACGTGGGGGTTGAAACTGTTGGGGAAACGCTCCACCTCCCGCAGGGGCCGGTATTTGTCGTGCTTCAGGATGAACTGCAAGAGAGGAGGAGAGACCCCCGGGGTGGGGGTGGGGGGCAGGAAGGCTGAGCTAAGGACGGGCAGGTAAAAAGTCAGAGGGTCCCTGGTTTGTTTCCTGGATTTACACCTTTCCTCCAGGGAGTTCCAGGCAGAGGACGTAGCCTGCCTGCCTCCCTCCCTTCCTGCTTTATCCTCACAACGACAACCCTGCAAGTTAGGTTAGGGGAAAGAGAGCAGGGCAGACCCGAGGGGACCCAGCACATGGCATGGTTCAGAAAGGACTCCACAATATGCATGCAAAATATTTAAAGCATTAAACGCTTCAAGGAAAAAAGCAATGTCCGGAATGTTCACCCCCCCCAAAGAAACAGGGATTATCTGGGATGCATATGCAAAAGACCCAACCAAACAAAAAACAAACAGGAAAAGGTTCCTCCCCCCCTCCAATCTGGGCCCCCTCCGCCTTGGCAACGCAGCACCCAGAGAACAAAAACCAGCCTCCAGACTAGGCACTCAACCCGCTTCCCTTTGCAGTTTTAGCTTGCCAGGTCACAGGTGTGTGTGTGGGTGTGGGGGGGGTGAGGCTGGCTTCGAGGGGCGCTGGGCCACCCCACCCCGGGCAAGCAAAGGGCAGAAAAACGGCCCCACGGCGCTGGCTGGGCCTTGGTGGTCGGAGCAGAAGGTGGCTTTGCTCCTGGTACGGCTCCCGGGAGGGAGGGGGGGAGGGAGGGGTGAGCGGCCCCTCCCAGGCCTGGAGAATCAGATTTCTGCTTGACAAATAAATCCACAGAAGGAGCCTCGCTTGTTTGTTCAGTGCGTCAGCCCCGTTGCCATCCAGCCCTCTGGGCAGGAACCAGCCTAACCAGATCTGAAGTCGGCAACCTCTGTCCGAGGTGAGCACCTCAGCCTTGCCTCGTGGCTTCTGCGGCCACCGTCCTCACCTGGGTAAGAATGCCCAGGAAGTGCCCTTGGAGGTTGGGGAGGGGAGGCACACACGATACGCTGGTTTCTTTTCATTAATAAACGTGCATGCTCCACTCAAAATCTTTTTCCAGTGGGGGGTGCAGCCTTCGTAAATGGGGGACTGCAGTGGGAGGGAGCAAATCCCCAGAGGATTAGGGGTGGCCGCTTTCCCTTGTCACGCCTTCACCCCAAATGCACAAGCCACTACAGCATTAAAAAACAGTGGCATAAGCTGGCCAGCCAACCAGCCCCACAGCCTCTCCGGACACCCTGGAAGGAGGGTGCCGTCCTGCGATGTCCAGCATGCCGCCAAGGGATAGCACATCATTCTCTCCAGTTTCCTGGCATCTTTCTTAAAGTGTGATGTCCAGAACGGAACTCAGTACTCCCGATGAAGCCTAACCGGTGCTGAACAGACATAAGGTCCGTCGCGCAAGGCGAGGGGAGATTACTGGCCACGACTTCAAGATGACCTCCGATAACCCCTCCAAAACTGAATTTGGACTTTGGGTTGAAGGAAGTGCATCCCCCCCCAGCACCCCCAGGGCTGCCTCCCACTTATGCTTAAGCTTCCTACGGGCATAAATACGGAGGCTGCCCACTCTCCCGCTGGACTGTGGACGTCAGCAGAGGGAATGACCCCCCCCCACGAGGTGCATGTGGGAGACCAACAGGTGCCCCTCTGGCTTCCTCTTCAGGGGACCGGGGCGGGGGGGGAGTATCCCTGAATGGGATTACAGAGACCCAGCACGGCCACCAGCGTTGAAATAGCCCAGAGGCCACCTACCTACCTACCTACCTCCACATGGCCAAAAGTTTGCACTAACGGGATCACCTCCAGTCTGTTGAGCTCTGCCAGCTCCAGGATCTTATCGATGTCGTCTTCGCTGCCAAGAAAGAAGAGGACAAGTCAGGAGGGAATTGGTCCAAATTGGGGGGAGGGAGAGGGGGCTTGTAAGATGGGGCAGGAAGGAGAGGAGAAGGGGGGTGAGCAACACCAGAGGAGATGGTGCCTTCTCCCCGCCCATCACCGTTTCAGATTCTTTGGTTCAGCTTTCCTAGAGGCTGGAGATAATGTGTCTGCACTAATACGTCGCCCATTTAAAAACTTCCACATTCTTGGCTTAAATAGGACAGGGCACCCAAAGCATCTGGTCTTCTTAAAATAACCTTTTGAACCTAATGTTTGAGCATAGCTTTTTGACACCTGATTTTCAGAACGGGAGATGCATCCGCTTGGTTGTCCCCCTGCACAAACCAACGGTAAAACTCTTTTAACCTCAAGGCATTCATGCTAAGGAGTCAATGTCCATGATGCGATCTCAACACAACGACGGGTGTTTGAGACCTGCTAGACAAGGATCTTTCTCTTGCTTGATAATTGAAAGGGGAGAGGCAGAAAAAGGAACATGTCCTCCGTGGCACCGTGGTTCAACGGCAGCCCTGCAGCCAAGACTCTGCTAACAACCTGAGTTCAATCCCAGGTAGCTGGCTCAAGGTTGACACAGCCCTCTGCCCTTTCAAGGTCGCTAAATGGAGTACCCGGCTTACGGGGCAGGCCATGTGTAGCTTGCATAATTCACCTGTAAACCGCTCAGAGGGTGCTTTAAGTGCTATGGAGTGGTATGTAAGCAGCACGCTTGTTTGCTTGCTTGCTTGCTCATTCGTTCATTCGTTCATTCATTCATTCATTCATTCATTCATTCATTCATTCATTCATTCATTCATTCATGCCCCACGTATTCAGAACCTAGCCTGCTTGTGCAGCTCCCATCCGCCATGCCGTCCACAAGCCCAGACACCCCCCTCCCAGCCCGCTGAAGGAGCCGAGCTCCAGCTCAGCTTACCTGTAAGCATACGGAGACTTGAGGATCTCCAGTTCGCCGCTGTAGGGAAACATGTCCTCGTACTCGATCAGGACGCCGTTTGCGCCCAACTTGGAGAAAAGCGGGAAGACCTGCAGGGGAGCATGCGTGAAACCAAAACGTATAGGTTTTGCTGAGGGGCCCCCCAGGAACGCTGCGGGGGGGTGGGGTGGGAGGCCCAAAGCCTCTTCTGGTTGGCAAGGTTCGGAAGTGAACGGAGGGGAAGAAAAGCCTCCAGGGCGAGGGCCGACGCCCACCGGTCAGGCAGGGCATGGAGTCACCAGCGCCCGAGCAAGCGAGACCTGGTTCGCGACTCAGCCGGCCCCTTGGAAGAGCCAAGAACACCTTCCACCCTGCCCTGGTAGTAGGGGGAGCAGCGGGGGGTGGGGTGGGGGTTTCCAGAGGGTTGCGCCCCACCTGCCCAAACAGTAGGAACAATCCAGGACGTCCCCGTCTCCTCCCACCCACAAGCAGAGAAACAAACGCATGCAGGGGGGAGTCTAAATAACGTGGCCAGGAGCACCCTGACCCGCATTGGCCGCAGGAAGCCCAGCCACGAGACCTCTGCATACACAGATGCACACCACGTACATGAAGACACATGCATGCACACGGCTGGTGGGAGAGATTTGATTCATTGAAAAGTATTCTGCATCTTGGCAACCTGGAAGTCTGAGAGCAGCATTTGTCACCCGGCTCACGCCCCTCTGCTCTTATTTTATGGGAATAACTACGGGCAGTTATCAAATACCGGAGGTAGCAAGGCGGGTCTACTGATACGGCTGGACCGTACAGAGTTGGTTGGCCTCATTGCTAGCCAACGAGTGGGGGAAAAATGCAAACATTATCGCTGGTAGCTTTCCTTGGCATTATTTACTCAGGTCCTGGAATATCTTTATCTTACATTTCTTACTGCATTTATAAGGACCCATAGCAAGACTCTGTGGACAACAGGATAGCTTGAGTCAACCCAGCTCTGGGGCGTAACTGGTTCCTTCCGTTCTCCCCAGAAGGCAGATGGAGTTCATCCTGCACTACACACAGCGTTGCGACATCCTCGCACCTGTCTGGAGAGCTGCCAGCTGAGTAGGGAGAAAAGGGGGTCTCCCTCTGCAAAATCAGGAGATGAAGCTTTTCACCGCGGAGGCCTCCTGGGCCAGTTATCGCGAAAGCGTTTCCAAGGTCTTTTAAAATAATAAAGCTGGCCTCTGCGTTCGCCCTGCTAGGGGTGCACCTCACCTGCTCCAGGTAGGACACTTTAGGGGCCGCCCCCTTGAGGTCCAGGTGAACGAGTCGCATCTGGGTCGAGCTGAAGTCCTGGAGCGTCTGCTTTCGCGTCAGCTTCCCTGCGGCCGGCATGGGCACCTTGGACTCTGAGGCAGGGCCTCTCGACTTGGCAGGCTGCTTGAGGTCACCGACCTGGCCCCAGAAGCCGCTCTCTGGGTCAGAGTCCTTGCGCGGGTCCAGCGTGAAACTGGGCGGGAGGAAGGGAGGGCAAACACTTAAGCCAGATACCACGGGCATGGCAAGGGGGGAGTGGGTGGCTGGTGCCCGGCAGAAAACCGCCACCCCCTGCAACCTGTCCAACATCCACGAATCTTGTTATAACTCTGGGGGGCCACGGCGTGGTAGGGGTGCGCGTGTCCTATGGCTCTGGACTGGCTCTGGCAATCAGGGAATCTCACAGCCCACCCCCCCACCCCCAGAATAAGAGCATCACAGAACTGTCATGTTGGAAGGGACCTCAACGCTCATCCAGTCTCACCCCTTTTCCACGGTATACAGTCCACAGGGACACCATCTCTGACAGGCAGCCAAACAACCTCCAACTGAAAATTTCCACCACTTTCTGGGGCACAAATCCTGCTCTTTTCATGCCCATTTGTCCTTTAAAGGGTCCTTCGACCTGAGTGCTTAGAACTCTTTAACTGGTCTGCTGCACACATTGCCCCGTTGGTTGTTTTGAACGACCGTCTGTGAAGGCCTCAAAGGCGACGAGTGCCGGGTAGCTCAGTGGTTTAGATCTCCGACTCTAAAGCCAGAGGCCGGGAGCTCGATTCCCTGCTGGGCCTCCTGAGCCAGTGGCTGAACGCCATGATCTAATCCACTGGTTCTTAACCTTGGGTTACTCAGGAGTTTTGGACTGCAACTCCCAGCATCCTTCACCACCAATGAGTTGCAGAGGGTGCTTTAAGTGCTATGGAGTGGGTTGCAGTTCAAAAACATCTGAGTAACAAAGGTTAAGAACCACTGATCTAGTCTATAGGGTCCCTTCCTGCTCTGCAGTTCTAAGGCCATGATTAACATGGGCACAGTGTGTGTGTGTGTGTGTGTGAGAGAGAGAGAGAGACAGAGAGAGAGGGAGGAACATGGACACTCCAGGACTGACCGTCCCCCTCCCCCAACACCGACCTGTCCCGGAAGAAAAACTTGATGCCGGCCAGGATGACAGTCAGGAGCACCGCCAGGCGCAGGAGGTTCAGCTTCTGGTTGCGATGGAGCGCCATGTCTGCCAGAAAGAGCAAAGCAGAGGGGAGGGGGGTCACTCAGCCTCCCTTGAGCATGAACAGAGTGCCTGCTCCCTGCTGCTCCCTTGCCACTGGGCTAGAGGCTACTCCGGATGACGAGTCGAGGTCCAGCCCGCTTCTGGGGAGCCTCGGTGGGTCCTGACATTCACAGAGACAAACCGCCGCAGCAGACATCTCCACCTCTGGCGCTCGTTCTGGTCTTACCTGAGAATCCCCAGCTGACCGGGAGCCAAGGAGGAAGGTCGCGCCGTCCTCAAGGGGTTGAGGCAGGCTTAGAAAAGTCACGGGGCAGAGGTCGCCTGTGCTCCCGGGGAGCAGCCCTGCCCTGCTGGAGTTTCAAAACGGAGGGACATCCCTAAGGAAAGAGAGGGAAAAAGCTGTGGCTGGAAGCATGGACTGGCGGGGCTCAAACATCCATCTCCTTCCGCGGCCGCCCCAGAGAACCCAAGTCCCATCGCGATCGACTCCAGAAGCCCAGGTTTTCCGGAGAGGGACCTTTGCATGTTTACATGGCAACTTGCTATCCTGTTTATTATTTACAGTAGGTTTCCAATGACACACATTTCGCCATCCCAGGCATTATTTACAGGACGTTTGAAGGACATCAACAAGAGCAGAGGCATCGCTGGGAACAACATCAAAGAAACAGAAATAATAATTTCAACAGGAGTTTCTACAGGGGTATAATATTGGGGTGAAAAAAATGGTCTTGTTACAGTGCCCGTAAACAACCATGATAATACCTGTCAAGCAGGCAATAGCCGGAAGCAGAGAGGTGGATTTCTGCCACGCCGGTCCGCTTTTGCCAAACACAACAACAACCCTGTGGCACGCCTTTCCCTGGCTGAGAACTGACCAGTCTATGTGAATAACCCTGAGACCACAGTAAGCAGCATCATCCTCTTAGAACTGCAGAGCTGGAAGGGACCCCTAAGGATCATCCAATCCAGCCCCTGTCAGGGAGGCACAGCAGGGGAATCAAACTCCCAACCTCTGGCTCTACAGCCAGAGACCTAAGTCACTGAGTTGTGGGACTGCCTGTCCTTCCGGATGTCCAATTCGACCCCCTTTTACACTTATTTTTACAGGAAGATGTTTTCCCCTCCAGAAAGCACCTTGTGGAGCAATCTGTTGCTCTTCGATTTGATTTATTTTGGCTTTTAAAAAAAATACTGTTGCTTCTTTATCGTCCAAAGAATAAAAGTTACTTCCACTTTAGATGTGGTTTTCTACTGCATCCCAAGATGCATGCATGGGAAATGGGATGCTTCACGATGCAGAAAAGAAGCAATGCCTTTTCTTGTCCCTACAAGGGAACTAAATAATATTTGCTCCAAATAAATAATCGCGCACCACTGCCAGCTGGTCCAGTGGGGAGAAATGGCGGGGCTGGTCCCTTGGCGCTTTCTCTCCCTCTGCTCTGCTGATCGTCAGAAAGATCCCTCTCCCTTTTATTCCTGGATCTGCAACCCCCATCTTGCACAGCAGCCGGCCGGCCCGAATGAAGCCCAAGGTGGCCGGCGGGGTGGCCTCGATTTTGCTGTCGGGTTCTTCCTTCATCCCAAGCCGCCCAAATTGCAGAACGCCTCCTGGCCTTGCCGTCTTCGTAACTTGGGTCCTACAGCTTCTCTGACTCCCTTTTTTTTTTCCACAGGAGAATTCGGCCGTGGTTCCATTCAACACCTCCCGGCAAGGTGGCATCCTCTAATTCCCGGCTTTGCAGCTGTGGAAATCCTAATCTCTCCTTGTGAAACGCAATTCCGCGCCTTCCCGGCGAGGGATAATGGGAGAGCCGCAATAATTCCCCTGCCCGCTCCCTAGATGTGGCGAATGGGGGGCCTCGGTAAGAAGAGTGATGGGCCCGGCCCAGCTGCTGTCTGCAAAGGCCCCACAGCTGTCAGGGAGGGCTAATGCAGCACCGGCGGGCTGCGGACAAGCTGCCAGGCGCGGCTTTCCCTTCCACGACGGAAGGATTATGGGGCGAGCGGGATTAGGGAAGATCTGCTGTAGCCAGCCTTGACTTTGGCGGTCAAACGGCACGGAGGAGGACGGCCGAGGCTAGGCGTTTGAGAAGGAGTGTATGTGTGTGCCACCAAAGGGCTGAGGATCGGCTGCCTGGAAGTAATGCACCTCTTGCAAGACATCACAAAAGCTGCCCACGCTTCTCCAGTGGTTCAGGGCCTGCCCCACTGTTAGGCAGTGGAGTGCAAGTGCCTTGGAAGAAACACCAGATTTCTGGGTGCCCATAAATGGCAGCTGATGGGTCGTGCCCGTTTCTTTTCGAGAATCCTTCCCAAACGTTGCGCCTTGGCACATGTGCGCATCTCCGCACATGTGCGCATCGTCCACAAGGACCACAACTCCCAGCATTGCCTCACTCTCAGCTCTGCTCCTTTGGGCCGGTGGGGGTCTTGGCATCCCCCAACATCTGGAGACTGCAGAAAGACCACCTTTTCAAACTGAGCCCCAGCAAGTCATAAAACTCGCCTGGCCTCCTTCTAGGAAAAAACAGGGTGAGTTCCACGAGACCGCCCTGACCAGTCCGTCTGCCACGAGGCTTCGGCTGCATGCAAGGTTGCATGAAAAAATTCGAAGGGCATGAAGTCTGTCTGCTAAGCCCTTCCTGAGCTAAACCACGTGGCCTTTTTTTTTCTTGAAAGAAAAGCCAAGACCTACAGAATCTGCCGATTCATTCGTCAGGGCTGGGTTTGCTCTGATTTTTCTCCTTTGCCTGGGGACGCGGGCTGACCCTAGTTTGTAACTGGTGCTGGCTGAATTACTATTAATCCTGCACCCGAGGAAGGGGCTTCATTTCTGTCCTGATCCACCAACCCTTCGGCCCCAGAGGAGATGACGTTAGCCTGTAAAACGCCACAGGGCGTCACTGGCTTGGTGGCAAGAGAGGAACAAGTGGCTGACGTGGCTCGAAATCCAGAGCCCATCAAGGCTGACACGCTGCCCGGGGGCAGGAGCCACGCTGCGCGCTTTCCTGCTTCTCCTTAAGCCATCGACACCATTTTCTCTCCAAAATGATGGCTGTGGTTTCAGCGATGGTCTGGGAACCCCCCCCCTTTTTTTGTCCTATTCAGGGCCACAGATCCACAGGAGAACTAAGTCATGAGCCACAGATGATTTAGGATGGGTTAGGTGTCCACTTTTAGGGAATACCGTCTTCCACTGGAGGAGCAGCCGGAGAACAGTCCTCTGTCTGAAAGCATCCTCGCATCCGTGAAAGGCTGCAATCTCAAAGGATGATTTTTAAACCGGCACAGTTTCACGCCAGCCCAGGTTCTCTCCTGCCCATTTTGGAACGAAGGGCAAGCACTGAACCTCCCCATAAGCGAACCACACCCTACATAAAAAGGAACACTTTCCCCCCCCCTAATCTAAGCGTAAACTGAAACACAGGCTGCTGATAACCAGGGCGATTTTCCCCCGTGTTGACTCAAGCCGAAGCTGCACCAACTTCCACGGGATCTCCTCCCAACACCTCGGAGGGTGGCCAACCCTTCCGATTTTCCCACCCCTCCCACCTCGTCCCCGATCTTCCAAACCGAGAAGCATCCAGCAGATGCTGGTCGGAAGCACGGAGGAAACGGCCGAGAGCATTTTGTTCCAGTCAAGTTATGCCGTTTTCCGCTCAGCTGAAATAAGAAAACGAACAAGCAACGTGGAACAGGAATTCCTGTTCCTTCAAAAAAAAAAGTGGATGGGGTTTTCAAAATCGAGGCACGTGTCGCATTTTTTGGGGGGTGGGAAGCAGGCAGAATGCCTGCTACCCTGCATAAAACAGGATCTTCATCTTACGACGACGACTAATAACCACCAAACATTCACTAGAAATCAAGTGTACTGTATTCCCGATTGATCCTCTCTCTCCCCCCCCCCCATTTTCCACATCCAGGATCCCTAAGGAATAGTTGAGTTTTGTGTGTGTTACAGCAACTCGAGTCACTCCCGACATATGGAGATTTTAAGAGGTTTTTCAAGGAGCGACAAAGGTGCGAGGAGTGCTTTCCCCGCTGATTTTCCTCCCCAGGGAGTTTTTGTGGTGAAGCAGGGATTGGAACCCGGATCCCCAACGTTCTAGTTCGACACGCTGTCCACCGTACCACACTGGCTGTGGTTAGGATGGGCGAGAAGCACAGGGGCCTGGTGCATGGGGTCAGGTGGCATCTCTCAACTACAGGGCACAGCATGGGAAGGAAGTCCTGGATTCAAATTAAGCCCTCCACCACCACTATCACAGAGCTTACAAAAAAAGCAGGAAGACGTTCCAGGTGCCTTGGAAACGGCATGCGTTAAGCAAGACCTGCTTTGGATCGCCAGAGGCGGCCGCTTGTTCAGCAGCATCCGGAGGGAGGGAAGGAGAGGCGGTGGGTGGCAGTGTTGGCGCTGAAGTCGGTGCAGACAAGGCCTGCCGGCCGGCCGGCCTGCCCTTCTCTCCCCAAGGCCCACTGGCCTCCCCTGGGCCTCTCCCGGCAGCAGAACCGAGTGGCAACAACAGCCTTCCAGGGGTGGCTGCACCCAGTCCAGCTGCTGCAGACAGACACACACACACACACCCTTGCCCCGGGGATGAAAGGAGCATCCCGCAGGCGCCCACCCTGGCAAGGGGAGCCCCAGGCCACCGTCCCAAGGTCAGTAAACACCGGAGTCCAAAGCGCAGATGAAGAAACAGGAATGCAAACCAAAACAGGCAGCAGGAGCGGGATTCTGGAGCGCCTGCCTTGCATCATCCCTCCGGCTTCCAAACCCACCATGCAAGAAGGTGCCCTTCAAGGACCAGAGACCCACACCCACCCACCCACACACCAACACACCAACAGCCATCCCATGTGGATTGGGTCGGCAAGCACAGAATGCACCCCTGCACCACC